ATACTCACTGGCCAGATTCAATGCTCCGAGAGCATACATATCATTTCTTTGACCATCGCCATCTTCACCTTGCTCCTATCTCTGGAGAAATTTCCATGAAATATTACGGCCAGTCACGTAACATGAATTGCGACTCTGAAATTTCCGATTCACTTACCTTGCACTCGCGCATTCACCTCCAAGTTTCCACTTACATGCATCCGCTTTATTCGAAAAATCGTGATTGAAAAAACTGAAAGAAATCAAAGAATCCTACAACGAGAAAGATTCTGCACAAACACTACTAAAATGTATGTTTTAAGCGTCGTATAAAATCCAATTCATGTAAAAATACTTCCGTTTAATGGATTTCGATCTTGCGTAGAAATATAATACATAATTTCGCAAAGAAAGACATATAGAAGAAATTTTGCAAATTCCTGTTTCTTTCATGCCATATAAATTCTCGACGCGTTAAAATGCAAGCCGCTGTTCAAGTGGAACGACGTCTTTGGAAGAACATCTCGAAGTAATTTTTCTTTCCAGCAGCGAGTCTCGGCGAAATGGCTCCGGCAAAGCTGGGCTTGCGGAAAGATCGAGAAAGAGAGAAGCTCCGATTGTTTTTTTAGAATCCCTTCTTTTTTTTTAAGTTCACGAGCCGCGATGGCAGTCCGTATGCCGCCGCCGTGCAATTTCAAACGTTACGACGTCCCCGGAGAGGAAGAAAGCGAAGCAGAGTAATTTTTCCCTTGCCTCACTCTCTCTCCCTATCTCGCCTTTTCGCGCACAGTAGATATTCTTGGTGAAACTTAAAAGTACGCAAAACCTAGTTTGTCTCGTATGATCCCTTTTCAAGCTCCGCTATACGCAGTTCAAGCATTTGAATAACGAATGTAACAATGCTTCCCGTCCATAACGCGCAACGTTCTACGATATTTTCTGCACCATAATACCATTCGCGTAAATCAAACTACGCTCTCGTTATCGTTTCGTATGTTACGGTTATTGCGAGAAATTGACGTAAACATTAATGCGTTAGAGAGTTAAAAGCCTCTCTACATTCGCTCGTCCAAGAAGGTTATTAAAATTCGGGTCGTGACTTAAATCATTTGCGGCACGTCGTCTTTTTATGCGCGAACGGAGCCAATCGCCAAATTGACGCGTTAATTATGAAACTGGCAATATCGCGGCGCCGCATACGAGCGCGGAATATTGAATCGACCACCCAATTTAACCCTTTGCGGCCCCTCTCATTCGATGGAGCAGATAGGATCAAATTATCTATTCATATAGAAAGAACGAAATGTAGAGCGAAATACATATATGACAAAGTGATGTTTGTATTAACAATTCTCTCTCTCTATATATATATAATAATTTTCATTAAAATATTATTTAAACAGAAACAGATAATAATTGCAATAAACAATAACAATTATTTAATTCTAATTACAAAATGAGATATATTTGCAATATGTACGCCTCTAAAATATTATTAAAACACTTTTTCTAAATACATATAATTGTTTATCTTTTTTAAATACATGTAATTTAGTGACTGGTCTTGTCACGGCCATAACAAAATACAAACTAGTCAATAAATAATTTTATAAATTAAACTCTCGAAAACATCGATGTGCTCATGTTATCTGAGCACATTCAGTAGGTGGCTCGCTTCGACCACATCTTTTAATATGGTCCATTATTATAATCGGCATTTGGATGCAAGCCAGTTTAATACTCTTTCTCTGCTATTTTTTGCTTCTTTTCCAAACTTCTTTTCTGCACTCCACTTTCATTAATATTCAAGAATATTAACAATATATATACTATAAGCCCACATGCAAAATGTGTTTTTTATCTTTTCAAGAGAAGCTTAGTTGTAACAATTGATGTTTAATGCAACATTTTAAGTCTGTTGCTCTTGAATTGTTCTCAGCGATAAAGCGAAAAATGCTGTACCAACAAAACATTTTATACTATTGATCGTATATATTTTCATATGTTTAAATATTCACTATATATTATTGTAATAGAAATTATTACGCTACAAAAAATGAAAAATAAGATAATCCTAAATTTTCTATTTTCTATAATCTAATTAATTCTCTGAAAATTTTTATATATCATAAAACTTTTATCTCTTTCCTGTATGTTTTAAAATATACATTAGCTCTGTGGCTATAGTGAGAGATTTAATCCGGAAAGTAAACGATTAAAATTATTTATATAAATTAAATTGCCGTAAAAGAAAACGGATCCGTGGACGCGAGATTATGAAAATTCACTTTAGAGGCAGTTAAAATCAATATTGACTCGTCGTAAAACTTTAAAAACATGACACGTGCAAAAATTGTAATATTAGTAACGCGACTGAATAGATTCGATATCAACCTCCTATAGAATCGAACGAGCGTCATATAATAGTATAATTGTTCGCAGATATAAAATTTCAATCTTGTTTGCGTAGTACTAAATTATTTTATTATAATTATGTTATATGATTATGTCATAGTAAATTTATATATTATTTTAATATTTTATTTGCTGTTTTAAATTCGAGTAGGACCGGAAAAAGTTTTTTATTAAACATATATGTACATATATACATACTTATATGTGCACATACGTA